TGATACAATGTTTTTATCATGTTTTATATTTGTAAAGTTACTTTCCAGCTACTATTGCTAAGTAAAGTCGCATCAAGTTGTTAAAATAAACACCCAAAAGTAACCAGATTAAATATCAATTTGTCTTTCAGAAAATTTTTATTTAGAATATCGTAAATTCAATAAATTTAACAAGTTCATAGAAAGCAATACAAATTTTATTATTTCTTTATAGCGATATTTCTCATCGTCGGTAATGTTTTGCGTGTTTTTGATTCCCTTTTGTAATTTTCACACCTTCAAATATTTTAAATATAATAATATCATTTAAATATGTGACTTGGTCGAGTAGATATAAACGAAGTAAAAAGGTACATCTTCAAGCGCAAACACTGTATTTTCGGTATTCTGGGGCTTTCCAATATGGCGGCCGTACAAAAAATTGGCTTCACTTTTGATAATAGAGATGCGCTATCCAGTTATTATAGAGATCAGTGGCAGCATTAACCATTCAGCCAAGCGAACACATTGATAAGGTGTAATTTAACTTTATTCTAATTATTATTAGCGAATATATTTGTTTTATAGACCTTTTTTAAATTGGGATCCTGTGCCACAAACAAAGAGCTTTTAGACAGTAGCAACAATAGGTTTCCCCGCAAAATTTTAATCCGGGCCCCTAAATTACTTCTCACTTCCCCCCTCCTCGCATTTATCATCCCCTTCCCTCAAAACAAAATAAAAAATTATACATGAAAACAAAAGCCTTATTTTTAAATACAATTTTGATTTAATTTAATGGAAACAAGTATGTTACATATTGTATAGCTAAGAATTTGTAATTCTTAGCTATACAATAATAGCAAAAAAGTGATTTTTGAAAAATTTGACTTGGGCCCCTCTAGTCTGGACCCTCCCGCGGCTACGGGCCCATCGCTACGCTTCTGCCTTTGGGTCGCATAAAGTATCTAAGGTATGTATCTAAAGTTTGTATTACCTATCGAGCGCCACACCTTTGGAATAAAATTGTTTTGGCGAATTTTAATTTTGAAGTACTTATTACTTTTTGCCTTTATAAAAAAAACTGAAAAACCTCATTTTTTCATTAGATAATATATTGAGTTATTATTAGTAGTAAATGTTAAAAATATATATATATATATTTTTTGTTTATAGAAGTTTTATGTTTATAGAAGTTTATTGCTACTTATTTTATTTATTGTTCTTATACTTTTACTTTTTAATTTATATGTTGGTTTACTCTTGTATAAAAATCTGATGAGAAGATTCTCTTGATCTTTCTTCAGACATAGGTTGTTTGCATTGCAATTTTGTAAAAGTTTATTAATTTTTTTTTTCTATCTTATATTTGTTATATAAGGTTCTGACGACTAGATCCTTGCGATCTTCTTTCAGATACCTTGTTTATGTTTTATGCCATTGTAAGTTTATATTATTATTTTTATTATGGGTTGTACAACGATTAAAAAATGTAAACCAAAAAAAAAAAAAAAAATTTAAGGTACCTCTTCCAGTTTTTTTTTTTTTTCCCATAATATTTTTCATTGAAAAAAAGAGGGTATGTCAATAACGTACGTGCTTTTTAAGGGGGGGGGGGAAGGACTTAGAAGTACGCATGGCAACAGGGGGAGGAAGGGAGTCAAATTTCAAATTTTTTGACAAACGTACATACGTACATCATGAACGACCCCAAAGGTAAAAAAAAGTTCAAAATTTACCAGGTGGTAAATTTTCAAAATTTTCCGGTAAATTTTACCTTCGCAACACTAGACTCGATGATACATAGTGTAATCCCGTAACTATATTTAAACTTAATTTATACTTTAATAACATTACTAATGTACACCATTTTTTTTGTTTGCAAAATAATTATATAGATTAGAATCAAATGAGAGTAAATTGGAGATCGCTAGTTTTACTATTATGAAGATAATAAACAAAACATATACGTGTTGCCGTGCGTAACTTTTTGGAAATGCCCAAGGTACTCGATGAGAAGACTGACTTAAGTCTTTTGTGAGCTTCCTATAACTACTAACAAATAATTCTTCTTATCAATCTTACAAAAATTTCTTTTTTATTATATTTATACACAAATATTAGTTTGAAATGTGGTAAATAAACTTATAGTCAAACATCTAAACACTTCTCCAAAAAATCACCTAATTTATTTTTATTTATTGTATTATTTTATTTTAACTGGAATAAAATAGAGATATATTTATCGGATTATTTTTACGTACACGTTACTACATTGTTGTAATTAGTGTTTATTTTAATCGTGTCTCGGAGTTGTATGCAACTATATTTTTATTTACTTCCTTTATTTCGTACTTTATGTTTATAATATTTATGTTTGTATATCTTTACCGCCAATCTGTGATTGGTTACTTGTAAATACTTTGTAGTTGTAAAATAAACATGTAAAAAAAAATAAAAAATAATAGTCTAATTTTAATAGGCTAAAAACTAGAGTTCGGAACTTATGCGCATATCTGCGAATATATGTGCGTACCATTCAAATATTATGCGCATAATATGATATTTGAACGCGCATATGATGCGCGTACAAATTTAACCGATAAATGGTATGTGAAATTAATTAAATATTGTCAAATATAGAAGAAAATGTTTTTTAAATCAAACGCAAGTGACATTAAATCATAAGAAATGTTTTAAAGTAAAATCAATCATTTTCATAGTTTTTAAACAAATTTCTATATTACAAAAGTTGGCAATAAAATTTGTTTTTGCCTTAAGATTTCCGGACGTAGAAGAAGACACTGAAAAAGCGACTACGCCAAGAACCTCTATTGACTGTCACGGTTTCGATCTTGTGCTGTTTCTGCTTTCTATCAACACCGTAACCAATTGAGAGATGGTCCAGAGCCGAAATAAGAACAGATACTACACTTAATCTTAGCCGAGAAGCAATGTTAGCGTTATTATGTAAGATGATAGCGTTATTATGCAAGATGATGCAAGAATTTTAGAAGATAAGGGATCGTCCATTTATTTATCATCATAGTATTTATTTACTATTTTATAAAATACATAACATTAACTCAAGTAGCAAATTTTACAGTTTTACAATATTTCAGTTTACAAATTTTTTTTTTTTTAAATTTTTTTTTTAATTTTTTGATTTTATATATTTTTTTTTTGTTTTTTGATTTTGTATTTTTTTTTTATTTTTTGTTTTTTTTATTATAGTGCCATTGTGCGGAGAGAAATCGAAAGATAAGGTAAAGTGGAAGAGTAGGATGTTTAAAAAAGATTACAAAAAATTTTTATTTAAAGGAAGAAATTTATAATAAAATAACAGAAACAATTAGAGGACTTTAGCACAAAAAACACATTACGTACGCTATAGAAAAACATTTAAATAAGGAAATTATAAATGATAAAATAAAGGCTGGCAGTGATTATTAAATCATAATTAATAATATTATGTTGTAAAAATAAGAATTTGTAGAGAAATAAAAAAAATCACTAAACATAGTTTTTTTATTGAGCTGGTCTATTAGCTTAGCTCATATGTTTAGTTTTAGATTCCCATTCTCTACTTGGCATATTATATTTTTAACACAAAAAAGTTAACAGAAAATGTCCGTAGAGTTTCTACGGGCATGATAATTATATTCTAAAGCAATAATATTCTTGATTTTTCTGATTATTACCCTGATCACTGCCATTGGGTCAATTTTTATGTTACTAAACATGTGGTGGCATCTGCTGTTCCATATCTCACTCATAATGGTTTGAGTGAGTGTCTACAGCAGTTGTGAGGTAGGTTTTTTTTCCGATAAATTCGCAGTCCTAATAGAGAAAATCGAGTTTATCGGAGAAAAAAATTTTGGGTTGTGAAGGAGTTATATACATGTCTAAAATATTCCCAAATTTCAACTGAGGGAGGACAGTAGGCAAAGATGTGAAGATTGTCCTCGATTTTACCACAAGTTTTACATTTGTTATTTTTGACAATCTGTTGCCTTGTGCTTTTGGCTAGCAAGGCCGCAGAAGGTAGACTGTTGTGTAAAAATCGAAAGAAGATGTTTTGAGTCGGTCTGCACGCGTGGGAGGTAAAGTTCTTTTTCCAAATTTGGGTCCACGGCATTCTTGTTTTTGTTGAACCGTTCCAGAAAAGTTCTGCTGGTACGACTGTCTTTTTGTTTTTTGCCACTTCTAAATAAAATTTTTTTGTTGATTTTAGGGGGATGTTAAAATGGGACCCGTTTTGGTCTAATATTTCAATTGTTGTTTTGTAGTACTGAGACATTTTGTTGTCCCATTGTTTTGGAAAATTGTTCTGTTTCAAAAAGTTCCAGCTTGGGTTTTGGTTAGTAAATTTAATAAGTGAACTTGCTAACCAGTACTTTGAAAAGTAGTAATAATCGTTAGCGTTATCCTCTCCGCATTCTTTCAGTTGAAAGAGTGTTTTGAGGCGGAGCGCAAGGCTTTGCTCCTTCGGTGATAGGATTCCGAGACCCCCGCTTTTGACGGTTAAGAAAAGTGTCTCTCTTTTGACCGGATTGAAATTGGTTTTTTGCCACACATTTTCGAATATAGCACTGTGTAAACGTTCTATTACCCATTCGGGAACAGGCAACACGTTTGCCAGAAACCACACCCTTTGACAATGCTAAAGTATTTATCAACATAGTCTTTCCCCTAAGTGACAAAGTACGTAGTCCCAGAAACTTGAGTTTTTTCTCTATTTTGTTTAGAGTTATTAGCCAGTTGAAATTGGTAGTATTACTCAGTCTGGTCTAAAACGTAACACCTAAAATTTTGAAACCGGTGTTGTTAATCCACTCTATGTTGCCCAATTCTGGGTACATTTTATGATTAAAACCCCCAAGAGCAAGACCCTTGATTTTTGAGGCATTGATCACTGAACCACTTGCTTTTTCAAATAGTTTTAGTGTTTCGAAAAATAAGCGGACTGATTTTACGTTCCTAGCAAAAAAGTTTGAATTGTCTGCGTACTGCTGTATTTTAAGCGTATCACCAAAGCGAGAGCTTCAGCGACAAAGACATACAACAAAAGAGAGAGAGGGTTGCCTTGTCTGACTCCCCTTTGGGTAGGGAAAGGGGCTGACAAGAAACCGCAATTTAGAATAGATGCTGAAATTTCTGAATATAGGGTGTTTATAAAGGATACAAAATTTTCTCCGAGATTAAATTTTTGGAGAATCTGCAGCAGAAACGCACGATCGACTTTGTCAAACGCCTTTTCTTGATCTATAGACAAAATGAAACTGGTAGATTTTTAAATTCCGCGTAATCTATTAGATCACGGACTAAATGTAAATTTGAGAAAATTGTTCTACCTGGAATTCCGCAAGTTTGGTTTGGTTCTATAATTTTCCCCATTACTTTTGCAAGTCTTAGGGCCAACGCTTTTGTGATTATTTTGTAATCAGCGCCGATTAAGGATATGGGCCTCCAATTTTTACATTCAGTGAGATCTCCTTGCTTTTGTATTTTGTAAGCTAGTTCTTCAAAATCTTTTTCTAAAATGTGCCAAAACGTTTTATAAAATTCAGCTGGAAGTCCGTCATAGCCCGGAGATTTTCCGTTTTCAAATTTAAAAAGGGCTTCTTTTAACTCCGCGCCGCACAGTGAGTCAGAAATGTAAAAAAACGGTAAAAAGTTATATAACTATCATATATAAACGTGTGATATATCAATACTATCATATTTTGGGTCAAAAAATTTAAATTTGTTATTGAAAATTTTTTTTACGCGTACCTATGACGCGTACAACGCAAGTTTACGCGTGTAAGTGTCATTTACGCGCGCAGGAAATGATTTAAATAAATAAATCGCATTCCTTGATTCAAAATACCATATAAAAAAATACTACATTTTTTTTAATGTAAATTTTTCTTGTGCCTAAGGGTCGTACACGCGTATAAGACTCTAACACGTATACACGCGTATACGAGTTATAGTCTTTTACGCGCACAAAGACTTAATTTAAAAAAATTAAGTTCTTTAAACCAAAACATATACTTATTAAAAAGAAAAATTGGATTCAAAAAATCTTTTAATATTATAATAATATAAAAGTATATTAAATACAAAATAAATATTTATCTCATCTAATTTTTCTTTCAAGAAAACAAAAAAAGAAAACCTAAAGTTATAAAAAAGCTTTATTTTATTATTACAGCATTAACAAAGATAAAACTTCAGGGGTAAGTATTTTTCCATTTTCAACCTTGTATTTTTTAAAACAAATATTTGATATTACAGGATCACTTCTAATCAAGAGGTATTGGTACTGGTTTTTCATAACATTCTTTCTTGATATCTTGGCTGTATGGCTTAATCTAGCTTTGCAAAATTCCTTATTTAGAGCCTATTGTGACTCTTCAGAATAGTAACCAATTGGCAGTTCTAATGCCTCAGATATCTGCACACCATGTTCTAAGAGTTTATGAACAGTTATAAACTATACAGTTATTCATCAACTCAGAAACTCTGAGACAATAGGTGGAGGAGTATGTATTTTTATCCATAATTCTTTAAATTTTAAACCGCTAACTGAGTTTAGTGTAATTAGTAATGATTGTGAATCTTTAACGATCGAAATTTTAAATAAAGTCACAAAAAACGTCATTATACATGTCGTGTACAGACCGCCATCTGGCAATTGAAAAACACTTTAAAAAATTAATTAAAAGCAAAGTTTTATGTGACAAACGTGTCTTCTTTGTGGGAGATTTTAATTATAATGTGCTTGATTACGACACAAATAAAAATGTTAAAAATTTTATGAACATCATATTTCAAAATGGATTTATTCCAACTATAAATAAACCAACACGAATTACTAGAAATAGCGCAACTTCAATCGATCAAATAATAATTAATGAATATACAAAAAACAAAATAAAAACTGGAATAATAATATCCGATATATCGGATCATTTCCCAATATTTATAATTGCACATAAAAGTGTCGAACACACCCCTCACAAAAAAATATTAATTACAAATCGAGTATATAATGACATTTCTATGGAACTTTTTAATAATTCTTTATTTTCTGAAAACTGGGACGATATTTTACAAATTCAAACTGCAGAGACTGCTTATAACAGTTTTCTTCGGATATTCAAAGATCATTATGATAAAGCTTTCCCGGTGGTAACAAAAATTATTAAAACTAAAACATTTATAAACCCCTGGATTACACCAGGAATAATAAAATCGTCTAAAAAAAAACAACGTTTGTATGAAGTATTTCTGAAAAAAAGAACCTATGTAAATGAACTAAGGTATAAAAAATATAAAAGTCACTTTGAATCAATTATAAAACTTTCAAAAAAGTTATACTACTCAAATAAAATAATAAAATTCAAAGGTGATACTCAAAAAACGTGGCAAGTCATTAAGGAAGTAATTGGAAAAAAAACAATTATGTTAAATGGTCTTCCAAAAAAGCTCAATTACAATCATCAAGATATTACAAAAGAATCTCTAATTGCTAAAACGTTTAATGACGTATTTGTCAACGCAGGTCTAAATTTAGCATCCAAACTAAAACACAGTGATTTTAACAAGGAGAAATACTTGACTCCTAGCAAATCAATAATGGAAAATGCGGAGTTAACCGAAAAAGAGTTATTAGATGCTGTTCTTTCATTAAAATTAAACAAATCACAAGGAGTTGATAACATTAGCAGTAATGTCATAATTAAATGTATCTTCTATATTAAAAAAATCCTTTTGCATATATTTAATCTTTCGTTTAAACAAGGAATCTTTCCAAAAAAACTTAAAATTGCAAGGGTAATACCAGTTTTTAAATCTGGAGATAATACTAATATTTCTAATTATAGACCTATTTCCATTCTTCCTTGCTTCTCAAAAATACTAGAACGCATTATGTATAACAAATTATATTCATATTTAGAAAAAAATAATTTTCTATATAACAAACAATTTGGCTTCAAAACAGGACACTCTACTGATTATGCAATTCTTCATCTTGTTCAGATTATTTTTCAAGCTTTTGATAAAAACAAGTTCACTTTAGGTGTTTTCATAGATCTAAGTAAGGCCTTCGACACAGTTGATCATAGTATTTTAATTAAAAAATTAGAGAACTACGGTATCAAAAATATTAACATAGCTTGGTTTAAAAGCTACTTATCTAATAGAAAACAGTATATTTCATTCGGCAATAAAAAAACTAACAATATGACAATTACTTGCGGCGTTCCTCAAGGATCTATATTAGGACCACTCTTATTTTTAATTTATATTAATGATTTAAGCAAAGCCTCTAATATTCTAGATTCTATCTTATTTGCTGATGACACAAATTTATTTTATTCTCATAGTGATATAACAGCATTATTTAAAACGGTCAACATTGAACTCCTAAAACTAACCGAATGGTTAAATATGAACAAACTTTCAATTAATTTAACTAAAACTAAATATACTATTTTTCATCGCCTCCATAAAAAA